CTTCGTGGCCCCGTTGCAGCCATTTGTGGCCCCCTCGCTGCCCTTCGTGACCCCGTTGCAGCCCTTCGTGGCCCCCTCGCTGCCATTCGTGGCCCCGTTGCAACCCGTCGTGGCCCCCTCGCTGCCCTTCGTGGCACCACCATATGTATGCCCTTCGTAGCCCCCGCTCGTTCGCGCCCGTCGTGGCCCCATATGCATGCCCTTCGTGGCCCCGCTGTCGCCCTTTGTGGCCCCCTTGCTGCCCTTCGTGGCCCCGTTGCTGCCCTCAATGGCCCCGTCCTTGTCTTCCGCGGCCCAATATACGTATGCCCTTCGTGGCCCCCGCTCGTTCGCGCCCGTCGTGGCCCCATGTGCACGCCTTTCGTGGCCCCGCTGTCGCCCTTCGTGGCCCCCTCGCTGTCCTACGTGGCCCAGTTGCTACCCTCAGTGGCCCCGTCGTTGCCTTCTGTGGCCCCGCATTATCAGCCCTTCGTGGCCCCCGCTCGTTCGTGCTCTTCGTGGCCCCATACGCATTCCCTTCGTGTCCCCGCTGTCGCCCTTCGTGGCCTACTTCGTGCCCTTCGTGGCCCTGCTGTCGTTCTCTCTCTCGCTTTCGGTTTCGCTCGTCGTCGTCGTCGCCGTCGTCGTCGCCGTCGTCGTCGCCGACGTCGTCGACGACGTCGTCGTCGTGGTCGGTCCCCTGTCCGTCCCTCTTGGGGTCAGTTTGCCGCCGATCAGCGTTGGCGCTTGCCAGGCCGACGGTCCGCGGCGGCCCCGCCGCTTGCCAGGGCCCGGCCTGCAGGGAAGAAAGGTATACCCCTCAAAAGGGATACGAAGAGGGCGGGTACCGAGGGTTTGGGAAACACACGTTAACGGACACTCGGGCAGATAAGGGCGAACAATCTTAAAATGATTGTTGAGCTCTCATTTCTGAAGAATTATCATTGTTGATCCCCCCCGTCCGGTGCACATTGCCTTTTTCGATTGAATTGCCTTTCCCGGGGCTCGCATCCGGTTTTTTATCATGGAAATCTTGAGCGTCAAACTGTGTCGTTGGCCCCCGGTTTACAACAACAGCGGCTTCCGCCTGATACTTCCTCACAATTTATGGAAGAATCGCGCTCTCGCTGCAGACGTCCTTGCAATTTACCGCCGGATCGCGGCTCCCGCTGGATACTTCCTTACAATTTATTGAAGAATCGCGCTCTCGCTTGGGACTTCCTCGCATCTTACACCGAATCGCGGCTCCCGCTTGATACTTTTTCACAGTTTATTCAGATGCCGCTCCTCGACACACTCAGGAGTCGCGCTCCCGCTGCATATTGCCTGGCGGTTCAAACAGAATTTATGCTTCAACGACCCGCCCGCTCGACCCGCCCGTCTGGGCCTGCCCGCCCGACCAGCCTGCTAGGGACTGCAATCGCCGCTGGCTGCCCTTCGCCCGCCTTCGATGCCCCTCGCTGCCCGTACTGGTTCCGCGGTTGCCTTCGCTCGCTGCCCTTCGTGGCCCCGTTGCTGCCCTCACTGGCCCCGTCGCTGCCCATTGTGGCCCCGTATTGGACTCCCTTCGTGGCCCCCGCTCGCAATCGCCCGTCGTGGCCCCATGCGCATGCCCTTCGTAGCCCCGCTGTCGCCCTTCGTGGCCCTCTCGCTGCCCTTCGTGGCCCCTTTGCTGCCCTCAGTGGCCCCGCTGTCGCCCTTTGTGGCCCCATGTACGAGTGCCCTTCGTGGCCCCCACTCGTTCGCGCCCTTTGTGGCCCCATATTCATGGCTTTCGTGGCCCCGCTGTCGCCCTTCGTGGCCCCGCTGCCCTTCGTGGCCCCGTTTCTGCCCTCAGCGGCCCCGTCGCTGCCATCTGTGGCCGCAGATTAATTGCCCTTCGTGGCCCCCGCTCGCTCGCGCCCTTCGTGGTCCCATACGCATGCGTTTCGTCGCCCCGCTGTCGCCATTCGTGGCCCCCTCGCTGCCCTTCGTGGCCCACTTTCTGCGCGCAGTGGCCCCGCTGTCGCCCTTTCTGGCTCCATATATGTATGCCCTTCGTGGCCCCCGCTCGTTCGCGCCCGTCGTGGCCCCATATGCATGCCCTTCGTGGCCCCGCTGTCGCTCTTCGTGGCCCCCTCTCTGCCCTTCGTGGCCCCGTTTCTGCCCTCAGCGGCTCCGTCGCTGCCCTCTGCGGCCCCCTATGCGTATGCTCTTCGGGGCCCCCGCTCGTTCGCGCCCGTCGTGGCCCGCGCCAACAACGGCTCCCGCCTGATACTTCCTCCCAATGTATTGAAGAATCGCGCTCTCGCTTGTGACTTCCTTGCAATTTACCACCGGATCGCTGCTCCCGCCTGATATCTCACAGTTTATTGGAAACTCGCGCTCTCGCTTTGGACTTCCTCGCAACCATACGTAACCCCGCTGTCGCCCTTCGTGGCTCTCTCGCTGCCCTTCGTGGCCCCTTTGCTGCCATCAGTGGCCCCGCTGTCGCCCTTTGTGGCCCCATATGCGAATGCCGTGCGTGGCCCCCGCCCGCTCGCGCCCGTCGTGGCCCCATATGCATGCCCTCCGTGGCCCCGCTGTCGCCGTTTGTGGCCCCTTCTCTGCCCTTCGTGGCCCCTGTGCTGCCCTCAGCGGCCCCGTCGCTGCCCTCTGTGGCCCCGGATTAAATGCCCTTTGTGACCCCCGCTCGCTCGCGCCCTTCGTGGCCCCATATGCATGCCCTTCGTCGCCCCGCTGTCGCCCTTCGTGGCCCCCTCGCTGCCCTTCGTGGCCCCTTTGCCGCCCTCAGTGGCCCCGCTGTCGCCCTTCGTGGCCCCCTCGCTGCCCTTCGTAGCTCACTTTCTGTGCTCAGTGGCCCCGCTGTCGCCCTTTCTGGCCCCACATATGTATGCCGATCGTGGCCCCCGCTCGTTGGCGCCCGTCGTGGTCCCATATGCATGCCCTTCGTGGCCCCGCTGTCGCCCTTCGTGGCCCCTGACACGATCTGTTCTTTCGAGGGGGTGGTACGTGGCGCTGTCAATGGCGCGATCCATGGCGAAACTTATTCTTAACCTGTGTCGGAGTGGCTGGCGCAAGCCATGGCGCAATCTGAATCGCCACTCACAACGCAAATCATCGTCCTCCCTCCTTCTTGCCCCTCCCCTCCCTTCCTCCGATCCCTTCGTCCTCATTCTCCCCCGTTATCCGTTACCCTTCGTCTTCAAGGGCTTCACCAACCACACGTGGCAGGGAATGAATATACCGCCCAAGTGGGGGTACGATCGAAGACGAAGAGGGCGGGTATCCAGGGTTTGGGATTTGCATAGTGAATGACACGCGCGCAGATAAGAGCGAGCAATCTTAAAATGATTGTTGTTGTTGTTGTTGTTGTTGTTGTTGTTGTTGTTGTTGTTTACGGCAGCACGTCACACATGATATGCCTGAGGTGGTACAACAAGGCGGCAGTGCCGCGGACACGGTACCGCGCCCAGTCCGAAAAAAACAGCTCCTCCCTGCCGCACGAGGGAGGGATGCGTGGGACGTGCCAGGAGAACGAGTCGGCAGCGGCAGGCGCACACGGCTCGGAGCCTGCGGGGGAAGGCGATGACGCCGAAGATGACGACGACGCCGACGCCGAGGGACGACGATGGACGCCGACGACGACGACGATGACGCCGCCGCCCCCGCCGTCGCCGCCGCCGCCGCCGCCGCCGCCGCCGACGACGACGACGACGACGGACGACGGCGGACGACGACGACGACGACGACGGACGACGGCGGACGACGAGGACGACGACGATGACGACGACGACGACGACGACGACGACAGGGCGGAGACGATCCCTCTGCAGGCACTGAGGCAAAAGAGGCCAGCCACGTCCACTCCCTGGAGGGGGTCGTGCTGGACACCCAGCCTGTCTGCCACCCAGGTCGGGAGAGACCTATCCCGAACCGTCGCTCCCCGGGCGCGTCGCAGACCAGCTCGCCCCGCAGGCCTCCCTGGGGCCCAGGGGCATCGGTGCTGGAGATGAGTCCGAGCCGCCCTCCTCCACGAGGGCGCGCGACGGCTGGCCGGCGGTCGCCCCGCGCCTCGACGCTGGGCTCGCCGAGCGCCCGGGCGCCGACCACCTGCCCGACCTCTCAGCGCGCGGCCGCTCGGGCAGCGGCCCCCCGCCTCCGACGCGGGCGCTCAGCGGGCGCCCGCGCCGGCGGTGCGCTGCTCCGCGCATCCGCCGCTCCTCCCGCCCCACGTGCCGGCGCCTGCGCCCGCTTCGCCTCGGCGCCCCCCCAGCCTCGCCGTTCTCCCCCCCAATCAGGGGCAGCCAACCTCCCCGACCGGCCGCGGCCGGGGAGCTCACCCCGCTGGGGGAACCCCCTGGAGTCGACGACTCCAACTCCTCGAGAGGGCGGGGCAAAGGCCTCAGCTCCCCCAGCTGTGGCCGGTCCGCCTCCCGCAATTCCCATGGCTCGCCGGGGGCCGCTGCCGCGTCCGTCTTCATTGGCGCTCGCGTCGCCGCGGCCAGGGCGGTTTCGGGCCGCGCCAAGCTCCGGTGCCGCGCCGCGGCTGCGCCGCAACGTCTTTGCAAGGAACCCAGGGCGCGCCCGATGCGCCCGCAACCCCTCGAGGCCGCGCGGCTGGACCGAGCGCGCCGCTCGGCCGCCGAGCGAACTTCGGCCTCCGCGCGGGCCGCGGCGGCGCCCCAGCGGTCCCTGACGCGAGCGGCGAGGGCGAAGGCGGGCGCTCCGTGGTGCTGGCCCGGGGGCCGAGCCTGGCTGGAGCAAGCGGGCGCCGTTGAGGGGAGGGGCGGAGGGAGGGGAGGGGGAGGAGAAGAGAGCAGGGAGGGGGCTCTCCGGGAGGAGGAGGAGAGGCGAGGAGGGGAGAGGAGGGGAGGAGGAGAGGCGAGGAGGGCGGAGGAGGAGAGGGAGGAGGAGAGGCGAGGAGGGGAGAGGAGGGGAGGAGGCGAGCAGCAGGGAGGGGGGAGGAGGAGAGGCGAGGAGGGCCGCGGAGGGAGGGGGCTCCCGGGGAGGGGAGGGGAGGCGGCCCGAGGACGCGGCGCGCTCCTCCAGCCGCTGGGGCGAGGCCGAGGCGCCCGCTCCCGCCTCCCCCAGCCAGCAGTTCAGCCCCTCGGCGGCCTCCTCCATGCGCCGGCGCAGGTCCTCCAGGCGTACGGCACGCGCCGAAACAAGCTCGGAGGCTCGGCAGGCCTGTTGGGGCCCTCGAGGCCAGGACTTTGACAAGCCAGGACTCTGGCAGGTCGGGGGGACGACGCTCCAGAGTCCTGGCTTGTCGAAGTCGGGTGATCCAGGCACCCCTAGAACGCTCTCGGCGAGGCGAAGCTGCTGGAATGCACCTCGAGGCTGAAAATCCGCCGAGAACCGACGAAAACGTACGAAAACTTCGAACCTCGAAACTCGAGGAGTGCCCGTCGCACCTCGTCGTCGCCTCGTGAGCTGGCTGGCGCTTCGGGGTGTTCGCCGAGCGGCCGCCCGTTGCAACCTCACACATTATGCGTGTGTTTCTTGTGGCATGTATTTGCGTATCTGTCTACAAGTATACAGCTACACTTACCTATACACATGCATCCACAGGCACATCCACACCCACATATATATATATATACATATATGTATGGTCGGACACATGTATACAGACATTGTTTCTGGCAATAGATGTTGTGCAATACACATGGTGCAACCCATCTTGTGAAACTCATGCTGTGCAATCTATGTTTTGTGCAATCTATGTGGGGCAATGTATGTGGTGCAATCGAGGTGGCGACATCAATGTGATGCATTTTCCGTGGTGCAAGCAATGTGATGCAACCTATGTGGTGCAACAAATGTGGTGAATTAGGATGCAATCGATGTTGTGCAACCTACGTGGTGCTATCTATGTTGTGCAGTCTACGGGGACCCATCTCTGTGATGCAATCGATGTGGTGCAACCAATGTCGTGCAATCATAGGGTGCAATGTATGTGGTGCAACTGATTTTAACCAAAGAATTGACTCATCCCATGCTCTTGCGAACTTCCCACACACCCACCCGCAACTTGGCTTGCAAAACCCATGCGGTGGCGATTGCGATGCATGCTTGGCGTTGGCTGGTGCATTTTTGCGGCCGCGCCGACCATAACACGCGCGCGCAGCGGCCAAATAGTTTGGTGCCACCGACACGGCCGCGGCGGCGCTGACCGCTGGGCACATCCCAGCGGGCACTTCAGTGCGAGTCGGCGACTCGGGCGGGCGCGGTATCATGGCAACGACGACAACATTAAACACGATGAGGATAGTAACGATGTTGGTGGCAATGTTGGCACCGACGACGGCGTGGCCATGCGGGCGCCGATGCTGATCACGCCGACGACGATGACGGCGTCTTCGCGTCGCTGATGAAGGTTTTGGAAAGAGTTCGGCATGCGCGCGCGGCCGACGCGCGAGAATGGCCCGCATGGTTTTCTTTGACACGGATCGTGCCCTCCGGAGCACGCGCGCCAATGGCGTGCAAGTGATGTCGGCATGCGGCGCCCAGAGGCCCGTTTCGCTGAATTCTATGACAATATGGAAACACCTCAAGTTTCCTGAAGAATTCGCAAGAGCCCGAATGCACGTTTCTTTGTTTGAAAAGTGGTCTTGCGAAATCATGCGTGTTGTATGTTTTCCTCAACCATCCTGTTGTGTTGGGTCATCGTTTTGAAGAGACGGTCCCCGCGTTCCTCCTCCTTCCCTCCTCCACCTCCCCCTCCTCCTTCCTCCCAGCGTTTCAACCACCCAATACAGCGTTTCATGGCGGCCTCGGGCCATTTCGGCACACCCCTCACGAGGACCGTGGCCACCCCTCACGAATATCGTGGCCCCGTAGGAGCTCCACCGAAGGCCCCCATGGCTCGCATGGCGGCCTCGGGCCATTTCGGCATACCCCGCACGAGGACCGTGACCACATAGGGGCTCCACCGAAGGCCCCAGCGGCAGGTTTCGCATGGCGGCCCCGGGCCATTTCGGCACACCCCTCACGAATATCGTTGCCCCTTAAGAGCTCCACCGAAGGCGCCAGTCGCAAGGTTCGCATGGCGTCCTCGGGGGCAATTTCGGCACACCCCTCACGATGATCGTGGCCCCATAGGGAGCTCCACCGAAGGCGCCACTGGCAGGGTTCGACCCAGTGGCAGGGTTCGCATGACGGCCTCGGGCTATTTCGGCGGCACACCCCTCACGAGGATGGTGGCCCCATAGGAGCTTCACCGAAGGCTCCAGTCGCAAGGTTCGCATGGCGGCCTCGGGCCATTTCGGCGCACCCCTCGCGAGGAGCGTGGCCCCATAGGGAGCTCCACCGAAGGCGCCAATGTCAAGGTTCGCATGGCGGACGACCCGCGCGCGTCGCTGGGACCCTCTCGGGGCGACCAGCGCGCGTCGCGGGAACTTCGTGCTGCGCTTTGCCCAGCGCCTCGCTCGCCCCCGTCGTCGGTCTGCCCAGCGGCTAGAGCCTTGCCCGCTATCGGCCAGCCAGCTAGCTCTCTCTGCTCCGCGCAGCGGGCCCGCGCGCGTCGCCGGGACCCTTTCGGGGCGACCAGCGTGCGTCGCGGGAACTCCGTGCCGCGCCGCACCCGCAGCCTCGGACATTGGCGCGCACGGGCAAAGAGGGAGAGAAACAACTGGAAGGAAACGGGCGCGACCCGTGCGAGGGGCGTGCCAACATGGGCGCCGACATTCATGCACGTAGGCTCACGCGCGAGCAGACTCATTCACAATCGGACTCACTCGCGCCCAGATTCGCACGCTCTCAGTCTCTCGCACGCAGACCTCTCGTCTTCGTTCCCGTTGAATACCCCGCCACGGACTTTGGCACGCCCTTCGCGCGGTTCGTGGCCACATAGGGAGCGCGGTATTCGCAACTGCATATGGTTGTGTCGTTCGCCAGGCTAATTTGGACATTCGGTTTTGATACCGTTACGCAACCACCAATTTTTGATGGACTTCGGCATGCGCGCGCGACGACGCGCGCGCGTGCACTTCGTCCCATTTGTTGCAAGGGTTTCTCGCGACGGTACGCGCGCAAGGGCGTTCGAACGATTTCGACATGCGCGCGCGCAGCCTGCTTGGTAGCATGTTCGGGGAAAGTTCACAAGAGCGCGCGGGCGTTTTCTTTTTGTTTTTTTGTTTGTGTTTTTTTTTTTTGGTTTGTCTTGATTAGATGTTTGAGATTCCGTGTTGCGAAACCATGTGTTTTTTTAGACTCCTTGGACACGATTTTGATATCCTTACGAAACCGACGGTTTTGAAGGATTTCGGCATGCGCGCGCGACGACGCGCGCGTGTGCACTTCGTCTCATGTTTTGCAAGGGGTTCTTGTCAACTTATGGTTTTGTGCGCGCGTATTTTTTTTGCAGAGGATGGCGGGGGGGATCGATGCCGGCCTGGCTGGGTTGGTACGAATTCATATTTCGGCAGGGCGATGGGGCAGAATCGAATGTAAATTGCAATGCGAAAAAAAGGGGTGTCGATAATCCCGGGGAGGGAAGGGTAGAGTCTACTCTCATTTAAGAAAATCTATGTTGTGTAATTGATTTCTACTCATGCCTTGACACATCACATGCTCTTGCAAACATCCCACCCACCCACCCGCAACTTGGTTTGCAAAACCCATGCGGTGGCGATTGCGATGCATGCTTAGCGTTGGCTGGTACGGCCGCGCCAACCCTAGCACGCTCGCGCAAAGGCAAGCAAGTTTTGTGCCACCGGCGCGGCCGCGGTGGCGCTTACCGCTGGGCACATCCCAGCGGGCACTTCACTGCGAGTCGGCGACTTGGGCGGGCGCGGTATCATGGCAACGTTGACGACGGTAGGCACGATGATGATAGTTGCGATGCTGGTGGCGATGTTGACACTGGCGGAAGCACGGCCAGTGCGGGCGCCGATGCTGATCACGCCGACGACGATGACGGCGTTTTCGCGTCGGTGATGAAGGTATTGAAAAGAGTTCGACATGCGCGCGCGGCCGACGCGCGAGAGTGGCCCGCATGGTCTTATTTGACACGGGTCGTGCCCCCCCCAGCACGCGCGCAAGGGCGTGCGAATGATGTCGGCATGCGGCTCCAGGGGCTCGTTTCGCTGAATTCGATTACAATATAGAAAAACCTTTGGTTTTCGGACGAATGCGCAAGAGCTCGAGCGCACGTTTTTTTCTGACAACTGATATTGCGAAACATTTGTTGCATGATTGTTTGGCATGACGCATATATATATATATATGTATATATATATATATGTATATGTATAAACAATGTGTATGTATGTATGTATGTATGTATGTATGTATGTATGTATGTATGTATGTATGTGTGTATATATATATGGATTTCGGCATGCGCGCGCGACGACGCGCGCACACTTCGTCCCATTTGTTGAAAAGGATTCTCGCGACGGTACGCGCCCAAGGGCGCTCGAACGATTTCGACATGCGCGCGCGAAACGCGAACCATTTGTTTTTTGAATGTGATTCTGGACAATCGATTTTGAAATCCTTACAACACCGAAGATTTTGAAGGATTTCGGCATGCGCGCGACGACGCGCGCGTGTGCATTTCGTTTCGTTTTTTGCAGGGGATTCTTGCAAACTGATAATTTTTGATGAACGAGTGCGCGCCCATAGTTTTGGCAGGGGATGACTGGCCTGCCTGACGTGGTGTGACATGCATATTTCGGATGGACGATGGGGCAGAATCGTATGTAAATTGCAATACGAAAAAGGGGTGTCGATAATCCGGTGGGGGATAAAGTCGATTCTTTTTTTAGAATTGAGATTCTATGTGGTGCGATGCACCCTGTCGAGCTTGCAATTGTCAACTCCACTGCTCGCGCAAGTACCCCACCCACCCACCCACCCGCCACCCGCAATTTGGTTTGCAAAGCCCATGCGGCGGTGATTGCGATGACTGTTCGGCGCTGGTTGGCGCATCGCCGCGGCCGCGCTCGCGCCCCTGCTCGCGCGCGCAGCTGCCAGCTAATTTGGCGCGACCGCCGCGGCCGCGATGGTGCAATCTACGTTTTGTGCGGCGGCGAGGCGGCGACGGCGGCAACATAGCCACCAAACCGGCAGACAGGCCCAGACGACGGGCGGCGACGCGGCAGCATCGTAGCCTCCAGACCAGCAGACACGCCCGGTTCCTTAGATGAGAAGTAAGAGTCCTTCAATGCAAGCACTGTTTGGGAAACGTTTCGATCGACATGAAGAGAGAGTGAGAGAGAGAGAGAGACAGAAAGTGAGCGAGAGAGAGAGAGAGATAAAGAGGGAGACATAAAGAAAGAGAACAAGAGAGAGAGAGAGATAGACATGCGCGACGAAAGTAAACGGGTCTTATGAGAAGACATCGTGAACTTACGTGGTGGCTTACGCGGGCCGCCACCGCGGCACGCTACAATGGAAACGAGGACGCTTACGCGGGACCTTACGCGGACAACTTGCGCGCGAATGCCAGCAAAACCGAACCGGTGTTGCTGCGTCGCTCATTTGTGCAAAATGCGCCGCGTGTATTGCAAATCCGAATCGCCGAGACACCGAGCTGCCCCTAACCTCCACACAAACTATCGTGCTTATCTCCCTCGGGAAGGCAGCGTGCGCGGGGAGAAGGCACCACGAAAGACAAGAAGCAACAATCAACAACACAATGAAGCGGCAACGCGACGGAAGGAGCCACTGCGCGCAGCTGGGCTGCGAATCGCGACGCAGCTCAGACTGGGGCGGCCAGATAACACTCGAGCTGGCGAGGCGAGGCTCTGTTCTACCTCCGCCAGCTTCCTCGGGCCCTTCTGCTGGCCCTTCCGCCGAGGGTTAGGGAGGACAGCTTCTCGACTCGTCGAGGGCGATGCCTTCTCTGGAGCGCTCTAGCGTGCTGAACCTGGCGACCTCGCCCTCACTTTCCAGGCGGCGCGCGAAGGGGCCCTGGCCCCTCCTGGAAGGCCCCGCTGCCTTCCCAGATGGCCCCCCCCCGCCCAAGCCCACCCAGCAAGGAGAGAGGGCCCGAGGACCCCGCCCAGGGTGCCTCGCGGCCAGTCTCTCGCGGCGCGTCCAACCGTGGCGAGGAGAGCACCCGGACACGCCCAGCAGCGCCCCTGCCGACGACGACGGCACCGACACTGCCTTGAGGACGGGCGGAGACGACGGCGCCGACGGCGTGCGCGGTCCTGGCGCAGCGGCTCGAAGGCGTCGACCAGGTCGGCCTGCTGGCTGTCGGCGAGCTTTACAAACTGCCTGCTCAGGGGACGACGACGACGACGACGACGACGACGACGACGACCACGACCACGACCACGACCACGACCACGACGACGACGGCGACGGCGACGGCGGCGACGGCGACGGCGGCGACGGCGACGGCGCCTGCTCAAGTGCTCGAAGGCCTTCCCCTCCTGGTCGCACTCCGCCCCGGCCTCGGCTCGAGGAGAGGAGGGCAGGGAGGAAGCCGGTCCCTGTTTGGGAGCTCTCGAAGCCGGGGCGGGGGTCTTCGAAGGAGGAGGAGGAGGAGGAGAGAGAAGGGATGGGAGGAGGAGGAGGAGGAGGAGGAGGAGGAGGAGGAGGAGGAGGAGGAGGAGGAGGACAAGGACATGGACAAGGAGGAGGAGGAAGAGGAGGAGGAGGAGGATCTAGCGTGCTGAAAGGAAGAACGTCTCCTCAGGCGGTGGCTGCGGCCGGGCGACTCTCACAAGTAGCGCCCGAGTCCCTCGCCAGAGATTGTGGTGTCGGAGCCTGAAGCGAGCGAACATCGTCAGACGCCGAGTCGGACAAATGACGTCATCTCCAAGCTTCTCCTGGCTATCCGGAGTCCAATCTGCACACTGCACGGGGCTGGAGTCGAGCCGCGTGCGCAAAAACCTCGCTTGCGTGGGCGGCATGGCAAACAACTTCGAACATGTCGTCGAAAACGGCTCAGCCGGAAGCGTCGTTATCGTCGTCGCGAGGGTCGAGCAGGCCGTCGGTGCCGCCAGCGACCGAAGCACCGTCGCCGTAGGAGTCGGTGGACGGGAACCGTTCGGAGAGCGACACAGCGGAAGCGAAGACCGCTTGATGCATCATGTCGACGAGTCGCCGGGGCAGAATCTGGCAAAATAGCGTGCTTGACCAGCGAGAAAACCAAGAACGTGTCTGGCAAGCCTTCGATGGAGTGCCATTCGTCTACAAGTTCGTTGCAACCAGCATGTGGGACAGCAAGGACACAAGACGCAGGCGCTGCAGGCTTCCGCCAGAGCGGGTCTCCAGCAAGCTGATGAAGGTCCGTAAGCTCGGTGACGCCAACATCAGAGAAAGCTAAGCAACCTTTAAATGTGAGGCCAAGTCGTCATGAGGAACAAGGTGTTCAATCCAGATGTAGGTGTGGTATGCGTTGTAGGCTGTCATTATACACAGGACGGCCTCCCTCGATGGTTGGGCTAATCCCCAGGAGTCCATCAGTCTCGGGGGGACCGCGATACCAAGAGTTTCTTCGCAAGCAGCCCGAATGCGATGACATCCAGCATAATGGCAAAGGCAATCGCGGGCTAGAGAACCAAACTCACACCTCTCATTGCCTCCTGAACGCAAGATGCGAAAGGACTGGCACCAACTAGACGCAAGAATACGCCAAACAGGCCAGACCCAGGATACCGGGCACCTCTGCCACACCACCTGGAGTTCTCCCCAGTGGATGGCTAAGACAATATGCCGCCGCCGAGGCCACCATTTGGAAAGCTGTGCAACAAAGCGGCGCTGAAGTGGGTCTCTGATCACCTCCATGCGGTCCATGGCTTGGCGGGCGGCACGCTGGCATTTCGGGCGACCTGCCATCGACGCAGGATCCAGCATGACATCGGAGATACCAGGAGGAGGAGGAGAAGGAGGAGGAGGAGGAGTAGAAGGAGGAGGAGGAGGAGGAGGAGGAGGAGGAGTAGGAGGAGCAGGTGGAGCAGGAGGAAGATTAGGACCAGAGTAAACCACGACTCATCAACGATATTTCAATGAACCCTCCTTCCGAGTTTCCCTTTCATAGGCCACTACAAGGATTCATGCTCCCTGCGGCAGATGCCCCGCTGGAAGACAACCGTTTGAAAATCCTGAACTGTGCCAGAACACCATTCCTGGGATTTCAACGCCGCGAATCACCGCGACTATTGCGTCTTGACGATCCTGAATCGTGCCAGAACGCCATTCCTGGGACTTCAACACCGCGAATCACCACAATTACTGCGCCCTGGCCATCCGACATCGTCTTAAAACACCACTGCTGGGACGTAAACCGTGAGAATCCTTGAGGCTGCCGCAAGCTCTTAAAACGAATGTGAGAACCACATTTTGAAAATGACCCCCTCTCCATCCGTGAAACTCTTGTACTTGTGTTATACGAATGTGCGCAGCGTTCAAGCCGAGAACCACACTTTGAAAACGGCCCGCCCTTGACCCGTGAAGCCCTTGCGCTTTTTAGCGGATGCGCGCAGTGCTAAGGCGACAGACGCATTCTGACAATGAACCGCCTTTCGTCACTGCAACTACTGCTATTGTTTGAGTCCGAGTGTGCGCAGCACCAAAGCGAGAACCACATGTTGAAAGCGGACCGCCCTCCATCCGTGAAGCTCTTGCACATATTCCGAGACATGTGCGTAGCGCTACGGCGAGAGCCACATTTTGAAAGCGGCCCGCCCTCCATCTGTGACGCTCTTGTAAGTTTACAGCTGAAGGATCAGAAATGGCGAGGAAATCTCAGGCGAAACGTCCTACCGACACGCCTCGGGTGTGACAGCGAGGAGTTATTATTGAGGAGACAGGATGGAGGAGGAGGATAAGGAAGGGAGGAGGAGGAGGAGGAGGAGGACGAGGAGGAGGAGGAGGAGGGGATGATGATGATGAGATGATGATGATGATGATGATGATGATGATGATGAGGAGGAGGAGGAGGAGGAGGAGGAGGAGGAGGAGGAGGATGAGGATGAGGAGGAGGAGGAGGAGGAGGAGGAGGAGGAGGAGGAGGAGGAGGAGGAGGAAGGGGAGGAGGAGGGGGAGGAGGCGGGGTGACGCACGTACCTTGCACAAGCGTTGCATGCATTAGCTTATATGGAGGGCTGCGCGTTCAACGTGCCCAGCGTGAGCGAGCAACTAGGGAGGGGCGCACTCGTGCTGTGCAACGTTGGGCCGAAGCTTGTGGTGCGTGTGAAAAAATGTGCAGAACAAGGCGAATTCTCAGGCGTCCGTTCTCCACCCCACCTTAGTCAGACTCACCCCGGAACCAAGACGCTTTAACGACTCGTGGGGGTCGGCACTGCGTGAGAATCTTCACGCGCCCGCTTGTGATCCACGTGCTTGTCGAGGGGAGGGGAGCAAGTGGGTGATGTACGAGAGGACCGGCAGGATCAGTATGCGGTGCAAGCGCAAGCACGCGTCAACTGGAGCAGACGTGGCGGCAACGAGGCGGCATCGGCCCCCCCCCGATTTAAGCTAGTCGTGAAGCGTCGCTCCTGGGCCAAACTGAATGCCTAAGCACCCGAGGGAACTGCAAATCTCAACGTCAACCCACTCTAAGATAAGGTCCGTGCTGAGGTATGCATGCCCTGATGGGATTTCCTAAACGAGGACGTGGCAGAGTTGGAGTCTGAGCAGAACCAGGCATGAGAGGGCAGCAGCGACGCCACCGAGAACGTGAAGGAGATTGGACAGCTGGACGGCATGTCAAGTATGCAGGAGCGTGAAAGGAATCTCGGTGCTGGCTGCTCCGATCACGCTCTAGCTAACTGACCTGACCAACTGCCTCGAAGTATGCTCTACTTGAACGAAATTGGCTACGGAAGGAAGGGGATGGGGGGGGGGGAAAGGAGGAGGAGGGGAGAGAGATGAGGGAGCAGAGAAGAGGGTGTAGGCGGGGGAACAGCGAGGAGGAATGAGGGAGAAGGAGTTAGGAGGAGAAAGAGCAGGAGGAGGAGGAAGAGGAGGAGGAACGGATGAGGAGGAACGGATGATGATGATGAGGAGGAGGAGGTGGAGGAGGAGGTGGTGGAGGGAGGGAGGGACAGAGGGAAGGCGGGAGGGAGGGAGTGAGGGAGGATATAGGAGAAGAAAGAGGTACCCCGCGTGCGACAAAAAAGCACCTGCCAGATGAGCTCAGCCACTTTGAAATATGCGCCACTGTGGCGCGAGGCAGTGAGTGGCGTGCCCTCAGGTTGTTTCGAGCTCTCAGTGATTAAGGTCGTGGGGTCGCGCGTCCGAAGGACCATCCTAATTCGGGCTCTCTTGTGGGTCTCTTGGGCCGTCTTCGAGGCCCCGAGGACCGCCCCAAGAGGCCAGCCTCATTGAGCAATCCGAAGTCTTCTACGACTTTCGAAAGCTCGCCTTCCTGCTCTTAAGAACGTCCACGGCGGCCCAAGAGGCCCCCAAGACCTGCCCGAGAGGGCCCCCAAGGGGGGGGCCTAAGGTTCAGGGGGAGCTTGAGCTGTCATTTGGAGCCATCCACCTCAAGGGGGCTCCGACGCCAGGATGCCCCCCTAGCCCCCCGCAGGACCAGGAGGAGGTCCCAGCGAGGCTCCCCCGAAGGGGCCTTCAGGAGGCCTCTTGTCCACGACCAAAGCCCGGTGGCGGGATGGGCCGAAGTAAGCAAGTCCGCCGCCCCCTGGCGATTCATCGCAAGGGTGCCTGGCGTGCTGAACCCTCTCGGTTTTGGTTTTGGCTCTTTTTCCAGAAGAGCTCCCCCTGGGGCTGCGGCCCGTCCCGCCGGCCACCTGGAGAAACCCCAATCCGGAAGAATATCCTCCAAGACAGCTCAAGATGGCCTCCAAGATGGCCACGTCGACCCAAGATGGCCTCCAAGATGGTCCAAGATGGCCTCCAAGTCCGCCCAAGATGGTCCAAGACGGCCTCATGACGGCCCCAGAGAGTCCAATATATCTCCAAGTTCACCCAAGGAGCCTCCAAGACGGCCCAATACGAACCGAGAGGCCTCCAAGAGGTCCTCCAGGAGGGTCCGAAGAGGCCACACTTATTGACTTTCTTTAGGTTTTTGAAAGATTTTGGCATTTGCTTCTTCTCGGCATTCCGACTGATCAAGACAGCCCAAGAGGCCCCCAAGATCGCCCCAAGATCGCCCAAGAGGACTCCAAGAGGGCCTCAGGACTGCCCAAGAGGCCCCCAAGACGGCCCCAGGAGGGCCCCAAGACGACCCAAGATACCTCCAAGACGCCCAAGATGGCCTCTAAGACGGCCCTTGAGCACCCCAAGGGGGCCCCAAATCGGCCCAGAAAGGCCCCCCAAACGGCTTCCTACGGCGTCAGACGGGCCAGGAGCCCACCAAGATGGCCGAAGTTGGCTCGAAGCTGGCCCAAGACGGCCCAAGAGGCCTCCAAGAGGGCCTCCAGAAGGCCAGAAAAGGCCCAAAACACAGATTTTC